AATGGAAAGTCTGGATCTTAAACTACCTATGAGAGGCAGTTGGTCCCACTGGGAAACTGAGGCTGTGGGCGGTTAGTGACCTCTCAAAGGCATGAGTCCATGAAGTGGTGGATCCCTGATGCCAGCCATCCTGATTCGGAATCCAAGGCTTCCTCCAGGCCTCCAGTCCCCTTTCTGCGCCTCCTCCAGGGCTCCGGGTGCAGTGGGTCTATAGATCCTGGACAGGCAGTGCCCCCTGCTGCCAGCCCAGACCCCAGCCCCTCCCCTCCTCTGTGAGGATGTGAAAGGATCACACAGGCCTGGCGCCCAGCGCAGTGACGAACACAGGACAGGGACTTGTGGGATAAAAGTCACCTGCCCTTTTATTTTTCCAGGAAAAAAAGCTTCTCCTAAACTTTGGGGGCTTTCCCGCTCCAGAATTAACAGACTAAGGGAGAAGAGGCCTTTTTGGTGGAGCGCTGCTGCCCCCATGCGGGTGGACAGCGACACTGCCAAAGAGCAGAACATCAAGCCTGGTGGTTCTGGTTCTGCGGCTCCCCTCCTGAAGATTCCTGGTCTCCAGGACCCTGGGTCCCTGATGGCGGTCCTGTCCATCAGGGCTTCCATTAGGGCCATCACCTAAAGGACAAGAATCAGGGCAATGGGTAGCTATCGAGAGGGGTCCCTGGGAGAATCAGCCCTAGCTGTGTGTGTGGTGGGGGGGCAGATGCGGCCTCTCCACATCCCTCCCTCCCAGGAGAGACTAGCCTGACCATAAGCCTTGAGGGTCTGTCCTGTACTAAGCAAGTGCCTAATCAGGTGAGATCAAGGTCTGATCTTGGCTGGTTTGGAAGGGCAGCAGAGGAGCAGTGAGGGAGGCAGCTCAGCAGTGGGGCCAGCAGCGCCTCCCCAGCCTGCTGAGGGTGTGGGTGCAAGTCACAGAGGGGCCGGCAGCCCCTCCCAGCCTGGCGTGCTGGCCTTGCTGCACCTGCGGTTGGGGGGCGGTGTAACGGCCCAGCCTGCTCCCCTTGGCACGTGGCCTGGGGCGATGCTATCTCTACCTCAGTATTTTTAACTCTTCTTTCCAGAGGATGTGGTTTCTGCGGGAGAGCTTCAAAGGGTGCCCTACTTGCCCCTCTCAGTAACCATGACATCATGGAAATGTAGGGGGCCGCCCCAGCCTCCAAACACCTGGAGGGAAGTGGGAGACTTTTTCCACTTCCTGTTCTACTTGTGGCTACTGACTCAATGTCTGACCTGTTTATTAATTTCAAAATATAGCTCTGTTTGTGCTATCCAGAGAGGCCTCAGGCATGTGTGTCTCTGTGTGAAAGGAGGCCTGCGCCCCCACCCCTCCCCCCGTTGCCCAGGTAGCTTTGACACAGATGCAGGGCGCTGGTGATCCTGCGCCTCCCCACAGCCTGAATGACAGCACTGGGTCTCCATGTGGCTTGCTCCCCCAGACTCATCCCAGCCAGCCGCTTGTCTTCCCACACATGGCTCAAGGAGGCAGATGGGTTTGAGTAGGACTCATGGAGAAACTGAGGTGGACCCACGTAAAGTGACTGTTGTCCCTGGCCCTCGGTGTGGCCACACGGTCACCACAGACTCCCTGGTACCCTGCCTGCTTTCCCACAGTCCCTGTTCTCCAGGCTTTGTTGCATAGACGTGTGCCTGCTTGGGGGCTGTCCTGACCAAGGCACCACCACTCAGGCTGTGCTTGTTCTGAAGTTCTTGACAAGTTACTTTAGCTCTTGACAAAGCCTCCCTCCGTGAGGCTGGGTCCAGGCTGGTGAAACTCGCTCACCCGGCCACTTCCTCTACAGATCCCCACTTCCTTCCTCCTGTGCTCCCCACTCCTCATACTCAGCTCCCCCCACCCAGAACCTGACTCCAGGAGTCGTTCATTTATTCATTTAATGGCATCTGCTGTGTGCCAGGCACTGTTCTAGTTCCTGGGGACACACTGATGACAAGGAACATCCCTATCCTACAGAGCACACAGGCCAGGGGACTTCCTCGCCAGGATGGTACCTGCTAATAAGGTGCTGTTAGGCCTGTCTCTATATGTGATCCCAGGGGAGTTGGATGTTATATTTGGACCTAAAAATAAGCAATCCCTGAAGACTCAGCTGGCTGCCCCCTTGTAGGGTAACAGGAGGGGGGTTGCTCTGTCAGAGCCAAGGACCCCACATGGATGCTCCTGAAGCAGGGATAGCCTGCCCTTTCTCCTGAGGGGCTGTGACTCCAGGTGCCCTCAGAGGTCAGGTCTCTTTGTGAAGTTTCAGAGAGATCTCTAGAACCTTAGGCCTGGGGCCATGAGAGCGCATTTAGTCCATTCTTCTGCCTTTGGGACTGGCCCGTGCTTAAGTCTTTTGGGACAGTAGGGCACGTGTCCAGTAAAGTCCATTCTACAGCTGGGCTTAGTGGCATGTTCCCTGCTGGGATGTTGCCTTCTCTCCATGAGGCTGGGTCCAGGCTGGTAGAGCTGCAGCTTCAGCCTGCAGCCCTGGCTCGAGGGGCCTGGGGATCTTCATGGCTGTGTTTCCAGGTCTCCTCAGCTGCCTGTTCCCTCCAGGCTAAGCAATGCCCAGCTCCTTATAGCTGAGCCCTCTGCACTGACAGGCTTTGCTGGGGTGGTGCTAGGCTCAGTGCTGACCTGCCCAGTGGGCACAGGAGCCCTTCTTCTGAGGCTCCTCACAAGGCCGCTTTAGTTCCCTCTGACATCCCAGGTAGGACCTGGAGCCAGATATAAGAGCAGAGTGGTCGGAGCTGGATGGAGTCTCTGTCTCCCCTCCCAACACTTGCTCACCCTCAACCTACTTGCTCCTGGTCCACCCCTCTGACCGCTGCCCTAACTGGCTTTAGGTTTAACAGTCTCAGACATGAGGGAAAGTTCTTGCTGAATTAAGGATCTCCTGGGTTTAGACGGAAATTTCTCAGGGGTGGAGCTGAGTCTGCTTTCCGGATGGCCTCCTATGTGCCCGGCCTTGCCACCCTGCCTTGGGTGTGGGTGGGTCCATAGCTCCTGCTGCATCACCTTGCATAGATCTGCGGGTGGCCTTGGGGGATCAGTGACCATTGGGCCTTGCTGTCTGAGGGCACGGGGCTGGCAGGCCTCCCTCCACAGGCTCCCGCAGGCCTCCTGCAGTCCGGGTCTCCTCTGAGGTTCTTGGAAGGGTCTATCTTTGACCCCTTCACTGCCTTCCAGGCTGCTGTCTCCTTCCCTCAGCCCTGTGACCTCAGTGTCACTGCAGACCTGCCTCCCCAGCCACCCACACTTCCCTCACCCAGATCTTTTTTCTATAGAGCAAAATGAATTATCACTTCAGGGGAAAAGAAAGAGAAACTAATTGGCCCTCAGTTTTTAATGGCTGTAAAGGCTTGCTCTATTGACCCTCCCGGGGGCACTTCCATCTAATGCAGGGAAGAGAATGCTTTAATTAAAAGAAATTCCCAATAGTGGAATCTCTAGCATTGTGTCAGATGGGTGAGGAGGTAGAGGCCCCCCAGAGCTCCCCAAAGGTGGCAACCCCCCACTTTGGGATGGTGGTGCCGTCCTACCACATGTGAGAGTGACCCAGCTGTGATGGAGAGCTGAGACCTTTCCCTTTGGTGATCTTTAGGGGGATTATATTTAGGCGAGAGATGGGGCAGCTTAGAAAGAACTGGGGATTCTGGGACCCCCCTCAGTAGGGCTGACCAGGAGAGGGGACACTGGTTCTTAATTCTACAGGGGTCACAGAATCAGAGGTTCAGGGCGTGGGAGTTAGCCTCCCGTCCTAGTCGACGTTCCCTAAGTGGCAATGTAAGCCTGTAGAGGAGAGGAGTATTAAAGCTGGTCCAGGTTGAGTATCCCTACTTCAAAAACCTGAAATTTGAAACACTCCCAAGTCTGAAACTTTTAAAGTGCCAACATGATGCTCAAAGGAAATGCTTACTGGGGCATTTTGGATTTCAGACTTTTAGATTAGGGATGCTGAATTGGTAAGCATAATGCTAATATTCCACCCCCACCTCCCCCCAAAAATCCAAAACCCGATATACTTCTGGTACCAAGCATTTCAGATAAGGGAGACTCAACCTGTAGCTCCATCCCTATGAAAAGAAGCAGGCCTGAATTGTAGCTGAGTGGATTTGCATATTTCTGGCTGGGGTGGTCAGAGGGGAATCATGGAGGTATTCGGGGATGGAATCCCCTCCCACCCGTAGGCATTGGTAAGCCTCAGCTTTGGGTCTTGGTAACCGTAGTTGCTGGGTGGATGGTGGCGTGGTCTCTGAGTTGTGTTCCCCTCAGCATCCATGACCCTGTGGAAAGGCGCACTGGTAGCAGGAGTCGCCGGAGGGAGAGGCAGCATGTTGCAGACCCCAGGGAGCCCATGTCTTTTTTCCTAGGTAACAGTTCAAGGCATCTGCTCTCCTCGGTCAGATCTCTGGGCTTGTGGGGAGACAGCTCATCTCCTTTTTCCTCACTCTCACATCTGGGATGGTGGGAGCATAAAGTCCTGCTGGGGTCACAGCCTCCTCTTAACCCTGCTCCTGGTGTCAGATTGGACACCTCAAGGGGCAGGCATGGGGCTGGACCGGGCAGCAGAGTGGGAGGTGGTCCCCAGTCATGAAATGCACAGTTTTAGTGGAAATCCAGTCTGAGGAGAGGCAAAGGAAATGCTGCTGTAGGACAGGAGACAGTGGGTGGCATTTTGGGGACACTTGCTGTGTGGTCCCTGTCTGCTTCAGGTCACTGACACCCATGTGTCTGGGCTCCTGCTTCGGGTGGTCCTGTGGTGTGGCATGAGAATGGAAGAGGAGGGGCCCAAGCTGGCAGGTGGGTTTTCCTGGCCCTCAGCATAGCCTGCTAAGTGGAAGCTTTTAGAGGTTATTCCAAGAGGCTGACAGGCAGCTGTTGAAGGAGGCTTCCTGGACAGCGTCATGGACAAATGCTGTGATTTTTCTCTGCTTAGCTAGTGATCACCAGCAAGCAGACAACCCAACCAAACCCAATCAAACAGAGGCACAGTCTCTGCTCTTCCAAGTCATTTTTAATGAAGCCATGGGCAGCAGGATATACAACACGCCCAGATACACAGCATAGCAGGGCCCCGATAATGGGATTAATTTCCTCCACACCTTGATAATAATATTTCTTTATGAACACTATTTAAAAAATTATAACCCCCTCACAACATTCTCTGGGACCTAGAGCCCAAGAGAACCCACTGAGGATCCGTCATCTGTGGGATGGCGGAGGCAGTCTCTGGGGAGTGGGAGGGACTCTGCACAGCCAGGGGAGGCTGCCGCAGCCTTGCCTCTGCCGTGCATGTCAGACAGTGACAAGCAACAATAGGGAACGGGGTGGCAGCAGTGTTTGGCAGCTCCTCAGCAGTCTTCATCACAAGTTCGGCTAGGATGCAGTTGGTGGCATTGCTGCGGGGGGAAGCGCATAGAGGTGGTAGCAGCTTTCTCCTCCGTGGGGGTGGGAGCCTTCCCTCTGCTTGGAGAGGGAGAGGAGGTGCAGATGAAGGCACAAGGGAGCACAGGCTCTCTTATAATCTTTTGGACCTGGAATGAGGAAGAACAGAAGTCAGGCTGGACACTGACGAGGACCCAGGACTGTCAGAGGTGTGATGGAGATGGCTCTGTTTGGGGCTGTGTGGTAGAGTTCTGAGAGCAAATGAACGCTGGAGGTTTTGTTTTTTTTAAAATTTTTCTATTTTTTGAAACAGGATCTTGCTTTATCTTCCAGGCTGGAATACAGTGGCGCAATCACAGCTCATTGCAGCCTCAACCTTCCCAGGCTCAAGCAATCCTCCCACCTTAGCCTCTTAAGTAGCTGGGACTACAGGCATGCACCACCCCACCTGGCTAATTCTTTTACTTTTTGTAGAGGTGGGGGTGTCTCCCTATGTTGCCCAGGCTGGTCTCCAACTCCTGTGCTCCTCCTGCCTCTGCCTCCCAAAGTGCTGGGATTACAGGTGTGAGCCCCCGCACCCAACCTTTTTGATGGTGACAGAAAAGGATGCGGTTGTCAGCAAGATGACTGGGGGCCCTGGGGGAGGAGGGCGTGGAGACTGTAGCCAGGATTAGGGTATAATATGAGTGTAATGTCTTCTTACTAGTAAGTTAAGAGAGCCATAGCATAGTGGGGAGACAGGACATGAGGAGAGGCCTTGGGGGCTCATTTCAGTCACAGGGTGAGAAAGTACAACATAAGTCCCGTGGTATAAGTGATGTCTCTCTGCTTCTACTCATTAGCTGTGTGGCCTCAGTTTCCTCATTTCCTACCTCATAGGGGAGAGGTTCAACAGAGGCGGCTGAAATGAGTGTATTTTATAGCGTTTTAGGCCATTGTTATTGAACAAGAGGAGCTTGTAACAGGAAGAACTAGAAGAGTTTGGTGGGCTCAGGCTTTGGAATTTTTAAAAGCAAGATCCTGCAGGGAGGTTTGCTCTCAGAGCTTAGGATGCACCCAGAGACCCGCGCCCCTAACCCCCACAGCTTCAATGCCTCTCACCTCAGCTGGACCACAGCCGCAGCGTCATGAGCAGATTAAAGCCGGCCACTTTCAGGAGGAGGATTCGGAACCCAATCACTGACAGGTTTTGAAAGTTTAGGTTCATATCTGTAAAACCAAGAGGCCACTGCGGTTATGGGCTTGCCTGTCCCAGGCCTGCATGGCTGCAGGATACAGCGATGGTTTCCCCCAGGGCAGAGTAGGCTGCGGTGGGGCGGGTGGGGGGAGGCCTGCAGCTCCTGCATCGCCGCTCCCTTGCAGCTTTGGTGCATATCCCCTTGTAAACATGTTTTGTGCATTCTTCCAGGGTCAACAGTATTGTGTTTCAAGACAAAAACACCGACTAGACTTGGCCCTTTTTTAAATTTCTGAGCCCTTCTGGGTATGGGGTAGGTGCTCAGAATTTATCATCACCATCCCTTGGGTTTAGATGGGCCCCTTAGTGAGTTCAGCTGCCACGGGAGGGATGACTCAATAACAACTCAAATGGAAAGGAATATGGGCCAGGGTGGGTGTGGAGTGGTGGGGGACTCTTGAGAGACAGGACCACTGCCTAGAGCCTATGTGAGTACTGTTGCTTTTCTTGAAAGAAGGCAAAGCCTGTTGGCTGTGGAGTGAAACTGTCCTCAGGATGACCTGGTGAGTTGAGGGCTATCCCTAAAGGAGTTGGAAATTTCTCAGCTGGGCCACCCAGAAGCTCTCTCTGGCTCTCTTGACAGTGGAGCTATTGAAAGAAATACAGAGGGCTAGGAGAGAGTCCTTGGTCTATGGAGGCTAGAAACTCATCCTCAAAGTACTTAGAATGGAAAGTCAGGGATGGCGAGAGGGATTCAGGAGAGACCCCACCCGGCTCTGAGCAGGTCTTGACCTGATGTTTGCATTCGTCATTCATTCCTATGTCTACTCATTCCTCCCCATTCCCTCATCCAGTCAGGGTCATTGCAGGTTCACTTCCTCAACCCTGGGCAAAAACCCAGGCTAGACTCCCCATCTTACCTGTTTCAAAGCTTTTCTCGACCAGGCTGGCATCACAGAGACTTTCTAAAAGGAAAAACACAGACATTTTCTCAGCATCCATAGCAGGCTGACTTTCCCACCCCAGACCTCCTAGTTCTTGGGCAGGTGATCGACAGCCTTTCCATACTTCCTGGTGGAGAGATCTGGAGGGAACTTACAGCCTATGGCAGCTGCTAGGGAGAGCCCCTGGCCCTGGCAGGACCAATGCCTTGACTTCTGGACACTGTTTCTATTTACTCAATGTACACTGATTGTACAAAGTACATGTTACATGACACAGGCCACTGGGCGCCATCACACGTGGACGCTGCCCTTGTGTGGCTTCATTCTGGAGTCCAATGGAGGCAGTGAGGCATGCACAGTCATAAGGGCCGTCAAGAGTATAAACAAGTACTTTCATGTGTTCCAAAAAGTTTAATCCCTGTACCCCGAATTTGTTCCTTGGTTTCATCTTAGTAAACGGCACTATCACTGACTCAGCTGCTCAGGCTGACATCCAGCTGCCTCCCTTGATCCCCTGTTTGTCTTCCCATCCCTGCATGGTTATACCTTTGAAAGCTGAACGGTGTTGGTGATCTCCCTGCCACCAGCCCGCCCAGGCCTCCATCATCTCTCTGCTTCAGTTGTTCCCTTTCTGCTTCTACTCTTGGCTTACAACCCACTCTCCACACAGCAATCAGCTTGATCTTGAAGAAAAGCTGGCGGGGAGCAGTGGCTCATGCCTGTAATCCCAGCACTTTGGGAGGCTGAGGAGGGCGGATGATCACCTGAGGTCAGGAGTTCCAGACCAGCCTGGCCAGCATAGTGAAACCCCATCTCTACTGAAAATATAAAAAAATTAGCTGGGTGTGGTGGGAGGTGCCTGCAATCCCAGCTACTTGGGAGGCTGAGGAAGGAGAATTGCTTGACCCTGGGAGGCAGAGGTTGCAGTGAGCCGAGGTTGCACCACTGCCCTCCAGCCTGGGCAACAAGAGTGAAACTGTCTCAAAAAAAAAAAAAAAAAAAAAAAAAAGGCATATTAGGTGTCCCTTTCCTGCTTGAAGCTGATCAACAGCTTCCTGGTATACTTAGAATACTGTCTGGCCTCTCCTGGCCCAGGAGGCCCTGTGATCCAGCCCTGTCTCCTCTGTTAAGCTCACGCCTGCTGCTCTTCTCTTTCCTCATTGAGCTCCTGTCCCAGGCCTCTGTAGGGTCCCCTCCCTGCCTTTGGTATGGCTGGTACCTTCAAGTAGCATTTCTTCAGAGAGCCCTTCTCTGACTTTTGTCCTGAAGGTGGCTGTTTTCTCAACCCCGAGTTAAAATACATTCCAGTCTGAAGTTATATGGACATTCTCCAGCTGACAGATGGGCTCCCTCAACTAGAACGGAGCTTCCTCTGGGCAGACCCCTCATCTGACTTTTTATTCCTCCACTTCTGCACCTGGTACATTCATGTACTGGCGCAATCAGTGGTTGGTGAGTTAATGAGTGACTGAGTGAGATTGGCTGAGTGGTCTGGGAAAGACCTTTTGGCAGACAGGGAGAAATAAGGAGAGGCAGCTCAGAGAAGGGCTTTAGCATGGGGTCTGGAAGAACAGTAAGGGGCAAACAGTCCGAGCAAAGGCAGGTGGGGGGACTCAGTGGGAGAGACTGAGGCTGGACAAGTGCCCTCTCCTGCCAACTTCTCTTCATCTGCTTTTTTCCCATGTCATTCTCTGAACTGCCAGGACAGGGCTCACCATTTCTTAGTAAAATAAGGGCTTTGGTGGCAACTGATGAGGCTGAGACCACCAATCAGAGGAGTTTTAGATACCATCGACCAGAGCTCTGGGCAGAACCAGGCCACTCCTGAAGCAAGGAAACAGCCTGCAAAGGCACCGAAGCTGCCCTTACCTGAGCCGGAGAAGAAGGTGTTTGCTGGAAGAGAGCTGCCGTTGAAGGCGTCTGTGCATTTAAAATTGGAATTGCTGCTCCAGGCCACGGCACCATTGCTCTTGGAGTCCGTAGACCTCATGTCTAGCACAGTTTTGTCTGTGATGTACACTTCAGACTCCTTACTTTCTGACACATTCATTTTAGAATCAAAATCAGTGAACAGGCAGACAGAGGAGTTGCTGGATTTAGAGTCTCTCAGCTGGTACACAGCAGGGTCAGGGTTCTGGATATCTGTGGGACAAGAGGATCAGGGTTAGGAGATGGTCTTGTTTCCGTCTTTGTCCCAAACCTGGCTGGAGTCCAGATGCCTGTGATGGACAAGAGTGGGGCTCCATGGGGCTGGCAAGTCACAGTCTCAGGCTTTACATGGGAAATAGCATTTTAGAAACCAGCTGCTCATGATGGGCTGGACTCAGGGACAGACTCAAGCTATCAATCTTGGCCAAGAGGCCATGATTTCTGTGAACTTTCTCTGCCACGCCTGGCCTGTCACTCAAGGAAACCTGAAATGCAGGGCTACTTAATAGCACTGCTTATACTTCTGCTTAACAGGATCTTCTTCAAAACCCAAGCAATGTAACTCTGGCAGAGCAAAGGCAGGCATGCAAAAAGGCCCAGCAAAGCAAACTGTACATCCGGCAATCTGGAGTGGTCTTCCCAACCTACGCTGGGCATTAGAAGAATGGGGGTTTATGACACGCTGGCATGAAGCTGGGAAATCTATCAGATCACCATGAGATTTCTCTCTCCTAGTTTTGAACTATAAATCAGAACATCTGTGTCTAATCCCTAGTGCTACCGTTCACTTGATATAAGGCCTTCAGCAAGTCACAGCAGCTCCCCACGTCTCAGGAATTTCATCGGCAAAATGAATACGTTGCCTCACCAACCTTCCTAGCCAGGCTCTTCTGAGAAAGAAATGAGAGCTTCTCCATATAAAAACCTATTTAATAAACTGTAAAGTACCAAACAAATGTTAGTTGGAGCCACTGACCCTGCCAGAATACAGCTGTGATAAAGTGCTGCTGAGCCATGCAGAGCCTCGCATCTATCCTTCACCCTCAGAACGCGGGAGCTGCTGGACGCTTTTCCTTAGTGCTGAGACTCATTCTTTAGTATTTCCGTAGGATTTTGTGTTTTTAATGTGACTCTCATTGTTTATTCTTTCCGACCGCCTGCCTTTTAAGGAGGAAGTAGAGGTTTGATGGAGGATTAGCATGTTGGGGCCACCCAGAGTGTTTCCAGCAGGGTGGAGATTAGAATTTCCCACCCAGTGGTTCTCTGCTCCTACAGCCTTTCACATGCACACAAGATTTCTCAGACCTTGGTGATTCGTCCCCACTTGCTGAGCCAGCCATGGTGGCCTCGGCAATGCAGACATCCAGCTGGATCCAAAACCAAAGAAATCAGCCCCTGGGATGCTGAGTAGAGGCAGAGCTGCCTGCAGTGTGGGGCTGCCCCTGGAGCAGTGGATCAGGGGTGGGCTCCACGGTCAGAGGGGAGAGACATCTAGAGCTCTGACCCCAGAGGATTCTGCCTACTTCCCTCCAACCTCCCCATACCTGGGCAGCCTGACATCACTTTGGGTGAAGGCCCTACCACATAGTTCTTTTGCTGGGAAGCGATAGACAGAAAGCCATTGGCTCCACCAACACATCCCCCTAATTGTTAGACATCAGTGGGGGTCTTGGGCAGCACTGCAGAGGGGGACAGAAGAGTCTGGAAGTGCTGATCCTCAAGGCAGAGGATCAGAAGCCACCAGATGAAGGTTGGCTTTAAAGAGGAAAGGGGGTTGCTTTGGAGGGGCAGAAGCCCAACTTTGAGTCCTGGTTAAACACTCACTCAAGTCCTGGGGCCAGTGGGTGTCAGACTGGAGATGGTCTAGACTGCTCTGTCTAGTACAATAGTCTCTAGCTACATGTGGCTATTGAAATAAAAATTAATGTGAAATATTTTTCAATTAAATATGAAAACTTCATATCAAAAGCTCAATAGCCACATGCAGCTGGTAGCTACTGTATTGGACAGTGCAGTTGGACAGAACATTTCCATTGCCACACAAAGTTCTATTGCACAGTGTTGGTCTAGAAAGCACAATGCTGCAGAACACAAGACTGAGAAATGGCAGCAGGGGCTGAGTTTAGATGTACTTGATTTTTTTTTTAGCCTTTTTATACTTTCATCCCCATGTACCTCTAGTGCAATCTTATCTCTTTGCCGCTTTTAATTTAGAGGTCTGTCTGCCAGAGCCCTTTGGGGAGCGACATCCGATTTTACCCTAGTAAGAAAAATACATCCCATCACTGATGGTATCAGAAGGTAGGCTTAGCAAGACTGAACCAGTTTTTCAATGTGGAAGTTCAGCTATTCTAGGTCCTAAACTGTCCTTTAAATTTAAAATGAACTGCAGAAGCACATGTGCTCTAGTGCTTTAGGTCCCTGTGGGCACAGCAGTGATTGAAAGCTCCCTTACCATTAAATCTATTCCCTGTAGTTAGGCATGAGGGACCCAGAAATCAGAATTAGTGACACTGACTCTGGTTCCCGCGGAGGCTCTGGTGAGCCTCAGGAAACTGAGCATGGGCAGATGTACTGGGAGAAATGGAAACTCTGGTTCCTTTGCTAACTTGCATCTGGGAGGTAACACCTTCATGCCACTCCCAGTGTTTCTATTACAGAATCCCTTAGGTTTCTCCTCCTCTGAGGTGTGGGATGACCCCTCTCAGAGCCCATGAGGAAGGAGAGGGGAGGTCTGCTACACCACAGCTGGCTCCTCTCACCTTTACTTCTAGTCTGCATCTCTAAATCAGATTGTTTCCCAGTAGCTGGCCCTCGCCCTAAGTTCTGTTTCTCTTGAATGCTCTCATATTTTCTTTTTCCATGCCTAAGAAGACATCTTCTCTAACTGCTTTCCAACCAATTTTATTTTCAGATGTTTACTTAGGCTACAGTGCATGTGCCTTGTTTATTCCCAAGATCATGCCTTATTCTTTTGTTCTCTATGCCTGGAACTCCCCTTCTCTCCTTTCTCTGCCCATACAGATCTTATCCATCTTTCAGGGCTCAATGAATCCTTTGTACTGTATGAAACTCTCTCAATCGAGACCACCTTTTCAGCCAGCACCCTATCCCCTCTCAATCTCTACTGTGTCCGTTGACATCATTAACTGATCAGTACTAAAATAGTTTTCAGGCTGCTTAATTCACAATAGTTCTGTGCCTTTCTCTAGTTTTTATACAACTTGGGGACAGGACAGTTTTTATCCATCTTAGACTTCATACTCAGTCTAACATTTTATAGAGTGATAGTCACATAGAAGGCATTTAACAATATCCATTGAACGATTAAAGTCAAATTTTAACATTTTTGACCTAGAGAAACATGAATATTCAAGATAGATAATGATACTTTTCCCTTCCCAGACCTCTGTAAGATAATTAGTTACAACATCTTCAGCGAGCTTCACCATACTAATAAGTGATGTCCCCAAAGAAAGGATTAGTGACACTGTCCCATGGGGTTGCAAATGGTGCCACGTGGGATGACTCACCAGATATAATAAACACATGGGTCCCTTTCCCAAATGTGAGTTTACCAATTGCTCCTCCGGTATTCACACCGCAGGTGACACCATTGCAGAAACTCACGGGACCTACCTATTACTTAAATAAGAGAAGCACCGATCTCCCCGACAAGACAGGAGAATCACACTCCTAAGGGTTAGACCTTCTGCTCTTTTGCATTGAAATTTCACTTCTGATATGTACACTTCTCCTGCTGCTCCATTCTGCTGTGGTGCCCTGGGCTGAAGTTATGATTTCAAATAAATCAAGAGTTCAGTAGAACAAAAACCCCAATTCCAGGTAGCAGTGTCTTGGATATGTTCATGGAAGGTTCAGGAGTACTTTCTCATGGCCTGCCTCATGGTTCCTAAGGTTCCAGCCTAAGGATGGGAGGATTTTCTGAGGATGGGTAGAAGAAACCTTTTGGGAGCCTACAGAGGAAAATACCTGGGCTTAACTCGGCATTTTGGACAAAGAAGAAATAGTTGCCCACCCTCCCTTGCTCTCCTCCTTCATTCTACTTACTTGGCCGGATGCTCAGTCTGGTCCCTGATCCAAAGGTTATCTTGGAAGCACTGCTGTACCCCACTGTGGGTAAGGTCTTTGAGATAACCACCTTGATGCTAATCTGCTGGAACCCACTGGGGTCTCAGAGCAACATTCTAAACAGCTCACTGCATCTTTGTTGCTTACATCTTTTATTTCCCAAGGAAGCGATTCCCCTTTCCCTTTATGATAATGTAAACCTTAGTATAAGCAAAGCCTAGATAATAATTATAATATTTTAGAAAAGCTACTTATTGATCACTTTTTACATTTTGGCCTTTATCTCATATTACCACGATGTAGTTATTGCCATTTTTCTGTTGAGAAAGTGAAAGCTTTATAGAAAAGAGCTGGTAAGAGTAGAGCCCGAATTTTCCCTAGGTCTGTGGGTCTCCCTATACGCCGCTTTTACCCTTAGGAGGAAGTTGAAAATGCTTCTAACTCCAGAGAGGAAGAGTCCATGAGTAGGTATCCCATACCATGCTTATTAGCCAATCCAGGGAATTTAGCTACCTGCTGCAATAAAAGAGAATTTGTGTTTGCCATTAATGCGTCTCTTTCCCCCAAGGGCATTTAGCTAATTTCCTGAATGTTCAGATTATCTGGTGCCGATATTATTGGCTTCGCTTGAAAGCACTGAGTATCTGGAACTCTTTGTATGTTTCTATAAATTATTCTGCTCAGATTTTCATCTACTCAATTGGCTCTTGGCACTTCTGTGTTTAATATGAGAAATGGGAACATTTTAAGTCACCAAGAGAGCTTGTAGAAATGGAAAATGAGCGTTTCTTAATATGTCCCCAAGTTTGCTATAAATCATCACCTGTTTTCTCTTAGACTAGTGGTCAGTTCTTTTGTGCTGATCACTTGCAGGGTCATACTCACATGGGTGTACAGCCAGCCTGGTCCCTGCTCCAAAATTCAGCTTATTGTAGCTACCAGATGATACACAATCAGATGGTGCTTTACAAGAATTCTAAACCTGGGCAGGGCCAGCCTGGCTGGGGCACTCCATCTCCTGTCCGTTTTCCAGGCTCCCCAAAGTCAAACTTTCTCCGACAAGAGAGAAAAGTCTCACCTACCAGGTCTTAATTCCTCCTACTCACTCCTGAGATGCATTA